CCACATCGTCCAATAATTCAGGCAACCGGTTCTCCAAAAAGTCAGCATATGTTGGTCCATTTAGTCGTCCTTCAAAGAAATAGGGACTCACAAGTACATCGCCTATTATACCAGCCCAAGCATTTACCGAGAGCCGATGTTGAAAATGAGTTTCCCTAATCGCGTGAGGATTTTCAGCGGCCCATATGTGCATATTATGGAAATTCACTTCATCACGGGTAAATGTCGCCTCGTCTATTACACAAACATAAACAGGAAAATACTTTCCTGCTTGATTGGCACATTGCCGTAAAATCAATCAAGGGTAAAATCTGTTGAACTGGATGCAGATGATAGGGATGCAACAGCTGGCGCCTTAAGATACGACGTATGATACGAGATGAGGTTCCTACTTGCTGTGCGAGTCGTCGAGTACTAATTGTGGGGTCTTCGTCAAGATCTTCCAATACTGCATCTTCAACATTAAGGTTCACTTGCTGACCACGTCCTTTTCCGCGAGGAATAACACTTCCCGTATCTCGCAGCCGCTGAATGCAATGTAGGATTGTATTTGCACATGGGGGGTGACGTTGTGGCCATCGTTCCCTGTACAATCTAGTGGCCGCGAGCGCATTTTCTCCGACTGCACCATACACTAACCATATCGACACGTTCAGAAATTCGGCACACTATACTTATTTTTTACTTCTTTATAAAAATTACACTGTCACTATCGTGGAATTACAAAATACAAACTTTTGTCTGGAATCTTTCACTTGTTAACACTGATGGATCGATGGACGATGATTAATATTTAATAATTAAGTGAGTAATGAATTCAATTATAAAACTAACCCTGGAAACTTGTGACGTCAACCGAAATATGGCGTACATATTTACCTTTTATATATTCCTTTTTTTACTTACCTAAAGAAGGAAATTTTTCGCCTCTCTTCACCAACTCGATCACTTCTATTTATACAATGTTTTACAATACACTTGCCCATGATAAAACGTCTAATTATCGAAATCACAGCGATGCGTACACCTAAAATGCTAGGACAGGACTGAGCGCTGGGCTCCAAATCAGGCTCCGAAGTGTTTTCACCAAAGTCGCTTTATAAGCCAGTCTAGGTGGTCTGTGGCAAAAACAGAATTTAAAAAACTATTGTATGTGCCTTATTTTGAAAGACAAATTAATTTCTTGACTGTGATTAAAAATGCTGTTAGACTACAATCTTAATTTTTTAGTTTTGTTTATACTTTTTTATTGTTTGTTTTCAATGCTATCACTTTCTTCCTGATTCCTAACTTGCTTTACTCCCAATTTGTAAATAACTGACCTAGTTGCATTCCATCTTGCTCAATGTCACAAACGTGGTGCTAGGAACCGTTGAACTTGAAAATTTTTTGCACTTCTCCTAGACAAGGTTGGCGCACCTGTAAATTCTATTTCATGTACTGCAAAAAATGTTTAGAAAAGTGCAAATAGTGTTATTTTTGTAAAAAAATCTCATCACATCGCATCTTATAAAATAAGTTTCAGGTTATTCTTTTATGGGAATTTTCCTCTGATATATTACTGCTTGTGTAAGAGCATGAAATTTATTCTGAAATACACTGAGAAAACTGATTATTAATTTTTCAAAATTCTCTGGTTAAGGATCAACATAAACTTGGTAATAATTTACAAAGTATGCACTTTGTTTATGAGAAATATGACTGTTACTTGGTAGATGCAAAAATTTGCAATTACTTACCTTGTAAAAAGCAAGAATGAGTATTCCTGAAATGAAATGTTTTCATCTTACTTTATTCTTGAAACTAACACATTTCATACAGAACTTCAAATCAGTCCTTTCGAGGTTATTTCATTTATAAATATGATGGAAATATCAATAGAGGCAAATATATAAATAAAACTAAACTAAAATAAATATTGAGATAAAAATCATGTTGGTTGTAAAATTATTTTAAATTTACTATTTAACGGAACCTTTCGTAGGTTTTCCAACCACATATGGGATTTTGTGATTAATGAAATAGATATTTAAAGATTTGTCCTTGCTGTTGACACTTCAGCTAGAATAAGTGAACTTTCTGATGTCCTGTAGTGATTACGTGATTGCGTTTCCTACTAGTAAGCAATTGCCACCTCATAAATAATATGTTATCAGTACAGAAAGTGAGAGAGCAAAGGTCGCCGACCGTCGTGTCATTATTTGAGGTTTCCGGTCCAATTTTTTAAGATTTATGCATTTTATATTATCAGGACAACTCAGAAATACTTTTCAGAATTTCATGTGATGATTTCTAAGATCAGAAGATCAAAACAAGAAAATTATATCATATACAGGGTGTTTTTGATAGTGGAGTTTCAATTTTAAAAGTTAGACTGATGCCATTATAATATGTTTACGAAAAAAATCTCCGTATCAAAAAATAGCTAACAAAAATATTTACATTTTTGGGGGGTTGGTATTAATTTAGGTGTTAGTATGAACTTGTTGAGGACCTAGCTGTTAATATTTTAACACACTTTTCAATTTTTTTTGTAAGCAAAAATTGTGAAAATTTAAGATACAATAATAATGAACTATTCATAGTTTAAATTTATGGGGAATGTCGTCAAAATGTCACATTACGCATCTCGGCTCTACATGGAGCGCTACCTTTTGTTGTTGTGTTTTTAGCATACAGGCTGTTACAAATTCGCTTCTCACTACAGGGATCTCGGAAACGGTAAGAGATACGAAGTAGCTTAAATGGGGGCAAAGTTGCGTAATCAGGGGACCACCATTATGCCTTAAAAAAATCAAGGTTAACAAATTTTGAAAATATTTGAAAAAAATCGAAATCTTGGAAATCCGTTTTTGTTTCATTTCAGCCTTGTTTGAAGTGATATTGACAATAGAACACTTTCTCATGGCAACTTTTTGCCCTCTATCGAATGGCTTAATCAATTTTTATATTTAACGTTTCGTCTCTCTAGAACAACCATCAACTTAATTTTTTTAAATACAACCCTGGAAATTTTATTGCATTTTTTGCAATCTTTCAATTTATTCGTTCCAAATATATCAATTTTTTTATTTTGATTTCTATGTTTATTGAATTATCGTACACTCATTGTCGTTAGACCATGTGAAATCCACCTAATTATTCAAACTATTACCATCCCTCGTTACAATAAAACATTATTAGAGTTTTAATCTCTATCACCTGGTCATACATAATTCGATAAGTTGTTGCGTCAAAATTTAAACATTATTACAATTTTAATTTCATTATGGCAAATGAAGAAAAGCTTAATATGATTTTATTATACCTGTAACCGCAACTGTAAAAGAGCATGTCAGATGTATGAATATCTAGAAAAAAATTAGGTCGAAATTTGAACGAATACATTGAAGATTAATTTTTCGAGACAAAACGTTTGTTTCTGGTTCGGTCTGAGGCAGTACAGTATTGGGGGTCATGAATGATTTTTTCAAATATTTCGAAAACTAATCACGTTAGCCTTGATTTTTTAGAGGTATTATGTTGGTCCCCTGATCACGCAATTTTGTCCCTTTTAAGCTAGTTTGTATCTCTTACCGTTTCGGAGATCCCTGTAGTGAGAAGCAAATTTGTAACTGCCTATATAATTCCGATCTTGAAGATTGTTTACCTCGTTCAGTGAGTTCTTTGCCATGGAGAACCATGGAAGGCATGCTGGACGAGCTCGGTCAAATCTCAATTTATCGAAAAGCCGAAATGCTTTTCATGATTATGTACTTAAAACAACGCATTCTCTCGAGACCCTATGACAATTATTGAATAGTGAAAAATACAAATATTTTGAATATTTTAAATTGTGATTTTTTTTAACGTATATTAGATATACTATTTCATTTTTATATACCTAAATAGGCAACTCTTCTGAACTTTCCAAAAACATCCTGTATAAATAAATTTTATATAAATGAAATGAAAATATACATGCAAAACGTGGAAATCTCTAAAAGAAAACTTTAATAATAAAGCCTATGATAAAAAGGTACGAAGTCATACATTATGACTAGGATTCTTTTCCATTAAATTTATCCATATGCCATAAATAACGTTATGAATAAGAATAGGTAAGTGTTTAAAAAATATTGAAATTTGATGCATGTTTTGAATATAAAACCAAAAAAATCCAGTACAGACCGAAAAAGCTCCAAAACTAGACACAGGGTTGTTAGTCAAGTTTCAAAATTTTCTTCCATGTTTTAAATCCATCTACGGGAGTATTCTGCGAGCTGAAAACCGACGCAGTTTTCCCAAAAATTAATGTTTCGAATTTGTCAGTGAACAACAACGAAGATCCACCTCAAGAATTGGCGGACATAAGGAGGCGTGATCGAACGTCGACTCTAGTTATGTCCAGTGTAATGATATGGCCCATTACTTTATTAAATTTTTTGTAACTAGAAATATCGATATTTCGACTATGAATTTTTCATACTGTAGTATAACAACCCCGGGTTCGATCGAAAAAAAAAAGAATAAACGTAATTACGGCCAGAAATATGTGATCGTCATGAGGAATACCTACGTTGTATACATCTATTTTTTAATTGACCGAAAGGCGCTGGCTACTAACTTTAAAGAGGTGAAGTATGGTTTAATTTTATAAAACAAAAGCAGAGTAAATACACCTAACTTTATTATTTACGTACAACAGTCTTCAAATTAAACATGTGACACATAGAAGGAACAACAAAAACATTAACAACCATTTAACATAAAATGAGAGTGCCAGGCTCACCTAGAGCTCCTGTGGGGAAAGAGCATGGCAGAGAAACCCACGATCGTTGCTCTAACTACCCAAATATAAATACAAAACAACCGCTAACAAAATGCATAAATTAAGATCCTTTGCTAATGATAAATAACACCCAACTCATTTAATTTCTCACTAAATGTTACCTCACTCGAATTTGGCATACACACTTCCAAGTAAAACTGAAGAGGTTTGGTGTTAGTTAGCCGGCAGGGCCGGAAGGTACTGGAGTCCCATACGGGAGGCAATCCAGGTATGAGTAGAGATTTCGGAGGATCTGTTTTAGCAATTCTTTTTTTGTATTTAATTATTCTTTTTACAGATTCATTCCTCACGGGCGAAAATGTTCGTAAATCCCACAAGGCTCTTAAAATGCAATGCAATGGTGGCTAAACATACAAAGAATTATTAACATTAAACATCTATAATCATCACAATCATAAGATTACATAGAACAATTAACAACAAAGTACTTAGAGAATATTACCTGCTAATTAATACGGGTTAAACACTTTGATCTTTCAGTATTTTGCCACACTGCCCGCTGATCGTCTTACTCCCCATCTCCACACTGTTCTCACCTCAACTATTTAGGCTTCCTTCCAGAATTTCCCCACCTAAGCGTTTGTTTTTGCGCTTCCTTCTACCAACTATCAATATTACGTTTTCATTATTATACAACACCCATGTAACAGGTGACGTCGAAGTTGATACGATAAGTATGGTTTTGCACAATACGCATTATTAAACACTTCTTTCAGTGTATAGTTCGCTGTCCCAAAAGAAGCCGAGAGGCGGCGAGCGAGAGAAAGATAGATGGAGTCGGAAGGCGACCTGGCGAGAATTACCGACTGTTTGGTCAGCGTCAGCAAACGCAAGGGTTGCCCAGCGATTTATACAAATCAGCGCGGTCTGCGGTCGACATTGACTGGTGGCCGTAAAAAATACGGGCGTCCGACGGCGCCGCGACTCCGCTCGGACACTATTATACCCGCCGCCGGGAGAGATAAATCTGCCGCCGTCCTCCGCGGTCATTTTTAAAAAGTCCTCCTGCCACCGGCACGTAGCCGTTATTGAAATTGTCCTCGTGCGGATTCCAGATTTATGCTTTTGCGGACGAGCCGACAATGTGTATTGTCCGCCGGCGATCTTATTATGTTTTAAATTAATGCCTCGCCGTTATGGTTTTCACGGTTTTGTTCCGGTCTGGCCGGATGGATTGATTTGTTTCTTGAAATATGCGAGTTGGGAATATCATGGCGTGGACAGAAGTTTTACTGGGCTCCTTTAATTTTATAGCGAATTTAAACATAATTGCGCAAATTAATATCGAAAATTAACAAACAAATAGATAGAAAATGAACAGCTAAATATATAGATAACATGAAAAACGAACAGATTAATAAAATACAGGGTGTCCCATTAATATTGCGAAAAAAATCAGGGGCAGTTTCCTTGACCAAAAACAAAAGAAAAAGTTCCTATAAACCTATGTCCGAAAATGCTTCGTTTCGGAGATACAGGGTGTTGAAATTTAGAAAAAAATAGAAGGTTTTTACTAATATCTGGAGAACCCTAATTCCAATTTTTTTGAAATTTGGTATGTTTGTTTATAAAAACGATAAACGTCTTTTAACGTAATTTGATTTATTTTATTTATTCCAGCGGCGTCCGAAGACTCTCTCCTGCTGATATTAATAAGTAAACATATGAGACGTCACTGCTTTTTCTTAGGTGTCATATCTTTTTCTACTTACACGATTAAAAATACAACTTTTTTGTCTCTTTACTTTTTTTGATATCTTGCTTCGTTTTCGAGCAAAAATTTAATAGCATAAGTGTGTGATTTTAATAAGTACCTACTTGAACTGTGTAGATGTCAATTTCTGCTTGTCAAAATGAATTACAGAAATAAACGAAGCATTTTCGGACATTCGTTTATAGGAACTCTCTTTCTTATTTTTGGTCAAGGAAACTCCCCCTGAATTTTTTCGCAAAATTAATGAGACACCCTGTATATCTATTTTATTAATTCGTTGTTGCCAATTAAATTGGACGGAATGTATCTTAAACGTCTAGGTATATTAAAACTTGTGAAATAACCAGTGGCAGCTGCCGCCCCTCCTAGAAATTTTCATAGTAAAAAATTTATTTTAATATTTAGCTTACAATTAAATAGATTTACTATCAAATTTATTATTAAATAGATTAGCCCCACGAAACATATTAAAAAGGAATTATTAAATTTGTAATGTGTAGTCAATTTAACTCGAATGAGCTCCTCGTAGCACGCCCCTCAATCTGTAAAGTGTTTACAGCGGTGGTCGTGGTTACCGTCGCGCGGCAATGAAAGACTGAGTGGGAATAGCGTATATTTACTATGCAGTTTGGGCTCTGTTTAATCCAACAGTAACCAATGATGATGGCTATTCACTGCTTTTTTTCTTAGTAAACGTAATTTGTTTACGTGGGATGTTGTATTGTTTCTTGTGTGTTTTTTAAAACATTGTACATTAGATAGTAAATACAGACTAACAGTACTTGCAATGCTGTTTATTGAAAAATAAATGGTGCGAGAAATTTCAAACTAATGAAAAAGTAATTGAAAAATTTATTTTGGACAAAAGCAGAAGAATGGACTTTCACTATGAAGAATAATACTGAGCACATTTTCACTATATTTCAATAGTACTTAAAATAAAAGTATTATATTTGTTTTATTTTTTCAATACCTTGTACCTAAATTTTTCCGCCCTCCCTGGTATGGAAGTTAAGAGCCGTCACTGAAAATAGCATTATTTACAGAAATAGTACAGTGCAAATGCAAAGTAAAAAATTATTCACTTTGATAAAAACAAAAGCACGTTGGATATGCAGTCAAAAAATCGTCAGCTTTTTCAAGAGAAGAAATCCATTAGATGAATGCTGTTTTTGCCACCTCTGGTGGGTGCAGATTTGACGCACTCATGAAGATGAACGTAAAGCATATAAAAGAAAAAAAGTAATGTTCTACAGATTCATCTTCTACTCATAAAAACTCACAGGGCTGTAATGGTTTTGGCATTAGCCCAATAGAGCTGTATTGAAAATAATAAAACTTGCGTCTCTATAAAACAGCAGCCAGCCAACATTTTCCGAAATATACCTACAAATATTGTCAGATTCCTGAAACCAGAAAATCCAGAAACATATACCGGGCATTCATTTCGCCAGTCAGCAGCTACTTTCCTAATAGATTGTGGCGCAGACATCTACATTTCTAAAGGTTGAAAAAGCGATAAATTAGCTGAAGAATATGTCGAAGATTGCAAATACTATATGTATTATACATTATACTAAAGAATAATACGAATACCATAATTTCTGGGAGTAGGAATCATCAGTGGGACGAAAATTGGCGAATTCAGGCTAGTGTCACTCACAACTCCACAAATTGCGTCAATGGCAGAAATTCGATATTTCGATTGAGCAATTCATTAATTTATATATTTGGCAAGTGATACAAATAAACTATAAAAGCACCGGGCGAAATAAATTGCACAAATTTTTGCAAGATATGTTATTAGCAAAGTATTTTTTATTACATAAATGCGGATAGTGAAAGAAATTTATAGAATGGTTTACTATTAATCAATGGCGCAATGAAAACGATAGCTATCGATATAGATATAGTATTATCATTCTAAATGGTTTGTAGCGGAACAAAACCGACCTTTCACTGTATTTAAGCCTGTTAACATCCCAGTTCCAAGGCTCCTGAAGGACGTCACACTACCGATTGACAATCGCGTTTGAATAGATTGTACTGCGTAAAGTCCCAGCTTGCTACATGGAATGACCATGCGAATTATGTGCTCCACATTCGCTTAGGTGGCCACCTCTTTAGCATATGACATCAAGGAAGTA